TCATTGTAACAATTCTCGGAATCATTGTTCGCGAGATATACACGACCACACACAGACAAGCACGACATTCGAAAGGATACTCCAAGTTTGTACTCGCCACTGGGTCGAACGTCGAATCGTCGTCGACGAAGTGCTCGCGATGCCTAATGTCAATCAGTAGCTTAGAGAAACCCGTGAATAATAATTAATTACCCGTATGTACGTGTATCATCGTGCGCCGTTCGGTTCGTTTTCTATCGTATTAGCTTTAGGCAATTTTCCATATTCCAGCGCCGAATTTTTGCAGCAAATCGCAGCGAATTGTACAGAAGAAGAGAACGAAGAATAATGTCTACTTCGTCCGATCCTTGATTATTTTCGTACGATTACCTCGCGATTAGACACGTGACGATGTCGCGAACCGACGTCTCATCCACGAACGATTATATACGCTAATTGAGAACAGTGACCATCGTCTAGCTTTCATTCGCTCGTTCAATCGCGCTTCTCGCGTTTCACCGAAAACGTTCCTAAGAAAATAGCGCTACTCTGGTTTGGCTCTACGTTTGGTGCAAAAGAAATATCGCGACGAATAGAATAGGAGAAAATACGAAGGTGTTCGACAAATTGCTGTGCAACGATCCGGAACGAACCAGAGAGAAACAAGACGAAACGGGACAAGAAGCGGCAAAAACCCGTCGGCCGTTTACGTAACGATATATGTACTGTCAGTAAGAAAGTTAGCAAACAGTAGGTCAGTGTTAATGTCCCGGAACGAGAGATTATTTTATTCGAAGGGAAAACGTTTCCGTCAGGCAGAATAAAAATCTCTCTCGTTGTCTCTCTTCTCGAAAGGGAGAGAGAAAGAGAGAGAAAGAGAGAGAGAGAAAGGAAGAAAAGAGAAAGGTTCCGATGACTCTCTTGCTCGCAGTGCATCTTGATCGTCCATCGATGACGGCCACACGTCGTGGGAGCCATCGTCATTGCAAAAGATACAAAGTTGTGCGGGACCCAGAACGAAGAGATATTTCTATGTAGCGTTTAAATAAGAAGGATGGCTGGCCGGATATAGGGAAGAAGGTTGAGTGAATAGAGCATGAATGTGTAGAGAGGATGTAAGAAAGAGGAACGCGTGCGTGATGTAGAGTTGCTTGATGAGGGATTTTCATGTGACAATTATATCTAGATGAGGATGTAAGAGATAAGGGACAGAATCGCGAAGATGATTTTCATTCTTTGTATATAAGAAAAAAAAAAAAAAAATACACGTTACGAGGATCACCTGCCTTTTACTGTAAAGAAGATGAGGAAGGAAGAAAAAAAGAAAAAAAAAAGAATGTGGAACGTTAACGAATGTTATTAAACGAGAGATGATAATTACTGCGTTCGCCGAAACGCCTCGTCTCTTGGCTGAATGTTATAAATCGGAAGAGAAAGTCTCCAAAAAGGGGGACAAGTATTATTGCACCGTGGCTCTTTTCGGAAAATTCCCTTTCGATCTATCCGCAGCTTCGAAATTTCCTTTCACCCCTTATATCTTTTTTGCGTTCCTTCCGTTATCTGGTCACTCTCAATCTCTGGAACGCGGATAGACTTGAGAACCATGTCACGAATAATAATTGAACACGAAATATCGCGCGACGAGGCCTCCCGTGCGACCCTAATTCCGGAAACACGGATCCCCTATTTTACAAAAAGAAAGAACCAGCAACGTTTCTTCTGCTATTGATATATCGTTGATACGATTTCTTGCTTTGATATACATATAAATATATATATATAAATATATATATAGTTGTTGAATTTATATTATCGTAACGTTAGATCGAGCGAGCGATCGAGGGTGGCACGAGACAGCCTCGAGGGCGCGGCGTGTGAAGATATAATGTGGTATGGATGTAAATATTATTATACATTCTCGTATAAAAATGTAATAAACCAAAGAGGCGAAAAGAAAGATCGAGAAGAAAGTTAAGGTTAGCATCGTTGCACCTATAAAAAAAAAAAATTGAAACAACTGACATATTATAGAGGATATACTTACATACATACATACATACATACATACATTCATGCATACATACATACATATACACGCAACACACAAGCACATGCATTACACATAAAAGAAAAAACACATATTCACAAACTACACGTAGCTTAACTGTCTCCTTAATATAGGTGTTGACATGTCGCCAGGAAGGATACGAGAGTATCGTTGAAAATACCACTCGAGGATTGAAAGAAATGAAAAAAAAGGAGGTGGAGGAGGGTAAAGGAGAAGGGAAGCCACTTATAACTGACATAGAATAGTGCAAACCTAACTATATTTACTGTGACATGTAATATCCTTAATGACAAAAAAAAAATGCGATCTACTTGATAGGAGANGTTGTTCTGCACAAACACGATGCTTCATTGATAATTATAGTGTC